CCCCGACCCGAGAGCCTTAGAATGGCACTACTTGCACATCTCTCTGTAATCGTGCCCATCGCAAGAAGCATCGAAAACTTGCTTCAACCGGCGAGGTCCTGTAGGTAGCACTGCTCGACCGGCGTCGTGCATTTGCCGGTTGCATACTACGCCCGCAAGTATGCCGACTCCGGCAATCTCTCGCTCAATATTTCGCAACTTTTCAAGTTTATGTGGTTCCACACAGCTGGAACGGGTCACGCCAGAGTAGGAAACCGCCCTCTCAGAACAACACCATTCTCTACCCAGTCTTCCCACAAACCTCGACGGCATGTTGACTTTTCCGAAGTTGCGCTTTGGGACAGTCACACTGCGATACTGATAGCTGACTCCATACTGATGGCCGACTCGACACTGATAGCCGAGTGTGGCATCCAGCAGAATCCACGGATATAGTTCGACGCACAACAAGTCGCGTGAGACTCCTCGGCGATCTGTTACGTCCACGGCGGTGATCGGCTTCGTCGACAAGCACGGGCGAGCTTCGCTCACAAAGAAACGTCATTACCATTTCAGACCAATCGACGGAAACAAGCTCCGCCAGAGGTTGTTCAGATCGCCGGGATCGACAAGCAGAGCGAAGGATGAATCGATGACTTGTGACTGCCCCTGACTTGCTCTGCGACTGTGTGCATCTTTATACCCGCATCTGGTGAGACGAAAGGGAATGTGAACCGTTGCTTGTGCGATGCTTCTTCTGTCACTGAGCCAAACTTCGGCATTCTCGACTTCGAATCGAAGCCCCCAATGACGACATGCCCGTCTTTGAACGCTTCGGCTTTTAAAATGTTGGAGTAATGCAATGTTTTGCGACGGTAGAACGCTGGAGAAGCGTGCGACAGGCAGACTGAGCTGGATCGAACAAGGTGAGCATGTATCGAAGGTGGCTATGTTGAAACTGTCTGTGCAGGAGCGAGGGACCGAGTGAGCGAACTAGGGTGCAGGATGTCTGTGCGTCGTACCGCGAAGTGGGCGTGCATGAAGTGGCGCTTCCAGGGCGTGCATGGTGTGAATGAACAGCTGCAAGCACCGGTCTGTAAGAGCCGGAAGAAGCCATTCCTCCTCCTCTTCAAGCTTAGGTTTTTAATCAAAAGCACTTCTCCCCAATCCAGAGCTTGTGAAAAGGCAATCTGCGCGAGGAAAATGCAGAGAGGTGAGAGTGGAATCGTTGTGTACGCAAAACGAGGGTCGGCTTGCGAGAAGAGAAGCAATCAACTTCCGGGCTGAGCTCGTGACCTTCTGCGCTCAGAGGACATGGAACAGACGTGGCGTGCGTGAAACCCGTAAGATTGCCTTGGTCGTGGGAGAGTCGCTTGCGAGCTCCGAGCTGTGGCCACAAGAGGCACCGGCGGTCGAGCGTCGCATAGGATTATTGGTACATGTACAGGTCAAACAAGTTTGGCGGCATAGACCCGCCCGGGGAATAAGAAAGGGGGGGGGGGGGGTTTAAGCTCAAAGCGTGTTGGATAGGGCA